CAAACTGTCACCCCGAGGATATGTGTTCGAATCCTACCACTACGGCCGCCTGACTTTCTCCATTCTGTGTTGAATGGTAGCCCTTTGATTGACCGCATCCCCCTTCCTGAAAATTGTATCTTTGTTTATTCAATAAAAGGAGGTAAAATGTAAAAGAAAGAATGCGGCGTGGATACTGTAAATGAATACCATCAGAATTGGGCCAAAGTGTTTGCAGTTTTCGAAACTCCAACTTTTTTGTGTGATCGTGAAAATGATCAGAACGTTTCATCAAATCACAAACACGCCAGAGGATTTCTCGAGGCTTGGCACTCTTTATTCGACTCAATAAACAGGCAGATCGAACTGGATCACGTGCACATGCCAATGCAACTCAAGGACCAAATGACGCAGCAGAAAAGGTCATGTCGTGACCTGATAACGAACGTAAACTGTAATCAGGACAAAAGGACAATCACCTCCCCTCCACCCTCCCACCCTCGCACGAGTTCACCGGCGAACCGAGTCGAACACAGTGAGAACAAGGGACAAAAATAGTCGGTGAAGAAGAACAATATATAAACCTACGGGTACAGGCAGAACACTGCCACTTCACAAGCACTGATAATGTCACTTTGGCTGGTGATGAAGCGTTTGCAAACAAATTGTCAAGCTTGGCGAACAGGCGAAATCGAATTCAGTTCACCCGAGCTATGAGAACCAATTTTCAACATTTTGTCAAACCACTTATGTAGTAGTCATGTTGTTACGAGAACAGGGGAAGAATGCGGTGTACCGGGGCAAGGGGGACTGATCACAATGCGTACCAAATAATTATGTGTAACCGACGGGATTGAATCAACCACTCACAGTCCGAGTACAATGTGTAATAGCTCAGTGTTATCAGAGGTTTAAGAACAAACCAAATAAGGGTCGTTAGGTTCACACAGTATGTAATTGCAATCAGGAGTATGCTGACCACACACACAGGTATAAACAAATAGTGGGATAGTAGGATATCGGAACTACTATCGACGGAAACAGTATCGGTCCGCCAAGTTACGCTTATGCGTAAATGGTACCATTCCCAGAGCGGTTGCTTTTCCGCACGCAAACCTTGAGTGTGTTGCGCTAACTGGCTATATTTTGGAGGGAAATAGTCGCGTCTAGTAAGGACAAGCTTGGAACCTGAGCCCCTAAACCGTTCTACCGACGAATTG